GACCCATAATATCAGGCATTGGTACCCTCACAGAACTTATATCTGGGTACATAGACGATATCCTAAAACCTTTATTGCCTGACATACCTAGTTATATTAGAGACACTACTGACTTTCTCAATAAATTACAAAACATTAACTTAGTCCACCATGATACAATCCTAGTAACGATGGATGTTTCGTCCCTTTACACGAACATTCCACATGTTGAAGGAGTATCAGCTTGCTATGAGTTCCTTAGAAACAAACCTTACCTAACTACCAATTAATAAATTTCATTTTAACACATAATAATTTTAAATTCAACAACAAACACTATTTACAGATTAGTGGCACAGCAATGGGCACGAAAATGGCACCTAGTTATGCTAATATCTTTATGCACATTCTAGAAAGGAAGATACTAGACAATTCAGAATTTAAACCATCACATTACTTTAGATATATTGATGACATTTTCTTACTATGGACTCATGGATGAGAAAAATTAAAAAACTTTTTCACTTTCTGCAAGAACTTCCACGATACAATTAAATTTACCATGGAGCACTCATACACATCCATCCCTTTCTTAGACGTTATGGTAAAATTAAACAAACATACACTTTCTACCAGTCTATACAACAAACCCACAAACCAACATAAATTCCTGCACTTTAACAGCTGTCATCCCCTTAAATTAAAAAAATCTATTGTATACAGCTCATTTCTAAGAATCAAACGCATATGCTCAGACCATCTAGATTTTTTATACAACATTAATAACTTAACAAAACAATTCCTAAAATGTAAATACCCAATAAAAAATAAAAAGAAGCACTAAATAAAACTATCCATAAATCGTAACACACTTCTCACATACAAGAAAAGTAAAAACAACAATCGGATTCCCGTGGTTTTTAACCATGGTTTTTTAAAAATCAATATTCCCACACACTTATTCACAATTTAAAAAAAGGTTACAAGAACCTCCAGTTAGACAAGAAGATCTAAGACATTTTCGATAAACCACCTATAAATTCAAAGAAACAATCACCTAACCTATCAGCTATCCTCACCTCTAGCAAATATCTAAACAATACAAACCAATCAGGAAATTACAAATGTAACAAATCTCGTTGTTTAGTTTGCAGACACTTAATAATAGATAATGTATTTTCTGTACCCAATACGAATATCAAGATACACCCACCTCACCTCACTTGTGATATCCATAACATAATCTACTATTTATTTTGCAACTTATGTCTCAATAGTGGATATATTGGTGAATCTGAAAATAATTTTAGATTTCGCTTCAACAATCATAAACAAACCATACGTCAAAACAATCCTTATTCCCCCATAGCTGAACACTTTAATCAATCAGGACACTCATTAGAAAACTGTAAATGTTTATAGATAGATTCTGATTTCAGTTCCACATACACACGCAGAAAAAAAGAAAAATATTGGATTTTAAAATTAAATACCTATAAACTAGGGTTAAATAAAGACTTGGGTATTTTAAATCTTTATAAATATTTCAATAGTTAAACATTTTTTTAGATATAGTTTTAAAATATTTTTATTATTACACTTAGATTTTCGTTAAGAACATTCGAACACAGTGGCGTTCCATATCACGTGACGTCCGCATCTCGCGACGGACGCTACTTGTAAACAAACAGTTATATCTGAGGAAAGATTGAAGTCAATCTGAAATATCAAATATATATATATAAATAAATATATACTTTCATAAAAAACATCATTATTTTTTTAATTTGCAACTTTTTCTATATATATATATATATTAAAAAGAAGAGGGGTGCCGCAAACGTTTTTGGTTGTAATGTGGATTTATTGAGAAAAAATATTATACTTTGTTTTACATAATTTCACGACACGTGTTTCTGGTCTGGTCTCGCAACCGTCTTCAGGTGAAAGTGGAGATTTTTACATATTATTAAAAATAATTAATTTTTCTTCATGTTCAATGTGGAATATTCTCGATATGAGACATTCATTGGCAATCCGAATTTTGTGAATTCTAGAAAGAAAATTCGGATTTCTTTATGAAGAAAATTAATTATTTTTTAATATGTAGAAATTTCCACTTTCACCTGAAGACGGTTGTGAGACCAGAAACACGTCGTGAAATTATGTAAAAACAAAGTATAATATTTTTCTCAATAAATCCACATTACAACCAAAAACGGAACCTTTTTAATATATACTTTTTCCTTTGGAACCATATATATATTTCCTTTATATATATATATATATATATATATATATATATATATATATATATATATATATGTGTGTGTGTGTGTGTCTTTGTGAACTAAGGTCAAATACATATTAAATATGGATCTGAATCCAACAGAATAAGTCAAAGACCAAAGATGAAGAAATTTTATCAATATAACATGTTTCATATGAAGATTTAATAAAAGTGAAACATGTTAAATTGATGAACGTTTCCTATTTGTTCTTTATCTTAACATTCATATATATATATATATATATATATATATATATATATATATATATATATATATATATATACTACGGAAATGGACAAAGTCAGACAATTATTTTAATATATTTTATTGTTATACGTTATTTATATAGACACAAATATCTAAGTAAATGTTCTGTTTATAATAAACAGAATTAATAACATTTACTGGCCTAAATTCTCATAGAAAATATGTGTCCTTCGACGGGAATCGAACTTGTATCCTACAAGGAACCCTCATATAACTTTACTTGCTTTACCAGTTCTAGGGAAATCATGGAAAATTGTAGTTTAAAAGTAGTAAAATCAACCTTGCTAAGCAGACGCTTTCGCTGTAACTAAATGGTATAGCAGGCTATCTGAAGGTTCCGTTTAGGATACAGATTCGATTGCTGTCAGAGAAAATTTTTAGAACTGTTCAGGCCGTTATATGGTATTAATTCTGTTTATTATGAACAGAGCATTTACTTCAATATTTGTATCGATATAAATAACGTATAACTTTAAAATAATTTGTAACCATTCACTATTACTGCTCCTAATGCAAGACTCTCCTAGCTGATGGCGTGCTCTTTTTCCAGCGATTTATTCGAGGTACCTATATATATATATATGACGTAGTGCAATCGTCAGCAAGCTTGTCTCACTAAATCAATTACGACTGAATAGTGCTCACTGGGTGCTCCATCTAAGCTACGTTTAGCGAACCACGATTTAGGCACTTTGACGTGGCGTAAGCTTATCCCGTTAAATCAATTTCGACTGAGTAGTGAGTTCGATCGTCACTGCGGGCGCCATACTTTCAGCTGTGTGTCACATGTAAGCTATACATAGTAATTATATATATATATATATATATATATATATATATATATATATATATATATATATATATATATATATATCATAATTAAGCAAATGATTAATTATTTATTTATTCATTAATTCATTAATTAAGAAACTTCAACAGAATGCAGAAAGCACTGGACAGCCGTTTCGTCCTATATTTGGGACTCATCAGCAGTGCGCATCCACTACCGAGAATTGAAACCCTGACAGTTAGGTTGTCAAGCAAGCATCATACCAACTGTTCATGCAATATGTGAACGAGCGGTAGTGGATGCACACTACTGATGAGTCCTAAAATAGGACGCAAAAACGGCTGCCCAGTGCTTTTTCTGCATTCTGTTGAGGTTTCTTCTAGACTCGAGGAATTACTTAATTATAATTATCTCAAATCCTCCTAATAATTTCTATCACTTACATATATATATATATATATATATATATATATATATATATATATATATGTGTGTGTATTGCTGCCAAATATGGTCCGGTGCCCATGGTATTCACCTTGAGCTCCTTGATAAAATCCAAAGAAAAATATCGGTAAGATGGTCAGGGTGAAAAGCTAAAGTGAAGGAAAGTGTTTTAAGTTGCTCCTTATTTGAAAGTGTGGTTATATTAATCAGCAGCCAAATTAGGCTTAAGGCTCTAAATTTACTAGATCAAAAATTGGTCTACGGGAGAATGGCCTGAAAACTATATCTCGAACTGATCCAATTCTTGTAAGTAAAACATTTTAGAAAAAAAAACTGTCGGAAAGTCGTTGATAGTTATTCTAGTGTATATATATATATATATATATATTAATTGATTTAAAATATGTTTTTTCCGCTACACAGTTCTAACCATGTTTCAAAAATGGAAGCTAAAAGCCACGAATTTAATTTTGCAATTAAATTAAAGACATTAGTTCCATTTCATCCTCAAGCGAATTTTGGAGTAACTTTTAAAATTACTGGGTTTTAGCTTCCATTTTTGAAACATGGTTAGAACTGTGTAGCTGAAAAAAACATATTTTAAATCAATTAATTTATAATATTAATGCTCTGTAAATTTACATTGAGCACTATTTTGTAAAAATAAAAATATCTATAAGAACACCGGATTACATATCTTACTGTTCTTTCTTTTATTTAAATATATATATATATATATATATATATATATATATATATATATATATATATATATATATATATATGTCAGGGTTTCAATTCTCGGTAGTGGATGATGAGTCCCAAATATAGGACGAAACGACCATCCAGTGCTTTCTGCATTCTGTTGAGGTTTCTTCTAGACTAGATCAATTACTTAATTATAATTATCTCAAATCCTCCTAATAATTTCTATCACTATATATATATATATATATATATATATATATATATATATATATGTGTGTGTGTGTGTGTGTGTGTGTGTGTGTGTGCGTGTGCGTGCATATAATGTAGTCTTAAATTAGTGGGATTTTTAAGAAAGTAGATTTTTTTACTCGTGAGTTTTTCCAGAATTCAAAAACTTGCCAGGAGTTTAGGCATCTTTAAAGATACTCATATTATTGCCTGTGTTTTTTTTTTTTGTTTTTTTTATTATCTAAACTTCCGGCAACGTGACCTAATTTAAGAGGTGGCTTTTTCGTTTGACCTCAACGTCTGAAAAAAATAATCAAAAAAGAAATCCCAAATAAATGGTTTAATTGGCGATCAGGTATTTTTTTATTTTATTTACTTATATACTGAAATCTTGAAGTAATTTCGTGGATTCTAAAAGCGTTGGCAGATAAGTAAAACGTTTTTAAAACGAAATTGATTGGAAAGAAAAGGAGGTGGAAGAAATTGGAAGAGGCAGAAAAAAATAGAGGAAAAGAAGAGAGAAGATAAACAGGAAAAGGATAAACAGCAAAAAAGAGAGTGGGAAAGAGAGAAAAAGTAAAAAAAAAAGCGAAGAAAAATAATGAGGAAAAGAAAAAGAAGGAAAAAAAAAAGAAAGGAAGAAAAAGATTGAGAGCGAGAGTGAGAGAGAAAGTACAAAGGAAAGACCTTGAAAATGAACGAGACAGAAAAGCAGACATTAACGATGAGGGTGCAAGGAAATGAGAGTGTGTGAGAGAAAAATGATAGAAAGAGAATGTAAGAAAGATAGAAAGAAACAAAGAATGTAAAAAAAAGAAAGAAAGAGAGAAAAAGAATAAGTGAAAAAAGAAAAAGAGAAAAAAAGAAAGAAAGAAAGAAAGAAAGAAAGAAAGAAAAAGAATGAGGGAGAGAGAGAGAAAGAGAAAGTAAGAAGGAGAGGCCTAGGGAATGAGCAAGATAGAAAAGCCGAAATTAACAATGAGAGAGCTAGGAATTGAAAGAGTGAGAGTGAAAAAGAAAGAAAGAAAGAAGAGAGAAAAAGAATAAGGGAAAAAAGAGAAAGAGAGAAAAAGAAAGAAAGAAACGAAGAAAGAAAGAGAAAGAAAGAAAAAGAATAAGGGAAAAAAGAGAAAGAGAGAAAAAGAAAGAAAGAAAAAAGGAAGGAAGAAAGAAAAAGAAAGAAAGAAAGAAAAAAGAAAAAGAATGAGTGAAAAAGAGAAAGAAAGAAATAAAGAAAGAAAAAGAAAAAAAAAACGAAAATCCATGAGTGAGTGAGAGAAAGAAAGAGAGATAGAGGAAGTAAAAAGGAGAGACGTAGGAATCATATAGATTTTTTTTCACCCCAAGCAAGGCGGGAAGCCACTAGGACGCAAGGGGTTACAGAAAATTTAGAGCAAGATCAGCTAGGAGTGATAGAGGAAAGGATGAGGAGAAGGATAGTGGTAGACCAAGGCAACTGGAGATGTCGATTGACATTACATTTGAATAGTTGGAGATTATAGCTCTCAGGGAAACTGGAATAGGGAAGGGAGATCCACAGGCGAGAGGTGCGAGACATGAAGCTATTGGAGTAGAAGAGACGGCTACATTTAGGAGTTTCGACAGTGAAAGGGTGAGAGCGTGATGCCAGCCTCGTCGGACGCTTGAACTCATGAAGTCTGGGAACCAGCAAATGCAGCTCCTCGGAGCAATTGCCATGGAAGCATTTGTAAAAAAATACAGAGAGAGGCGACGGCGCGTCTGTGAGAAAGTGATGAAGACGAGATGCCAGAGCAGGGCCAATTATATTGCATATCCGCCTCTGGAGCCTATCAAGAACCCCGAGGCAAACAGAAGGGGCTTAGAGAGCTAGGAAATGAAAGCGTGAGAGTGAAAATATATAGAAAGAGAAAAAGAGAGAAAGAAAGAAAGGAAGAAAGAAAAAGAAAGAAAGAAAGAAAAAGAATGAGGGGAGAGAGAGAGAAAGAGAAAGTAAGAAGGAGAGACCTAGGAAATGAGCAAGATAGAAAAGCAGAAATTAACAATGAGAGAGCTAGGAATTGAAAGAGTGAGAGTGAAAAAGAAAGAAAGAAAGAAGAGAGAAAAAGAATGAGTGAAAAAGAAAAAAGAGAAAGAAAGAATGAAATGAAAAAGAAAAAAACGAAAATGCATGAGTGAGTGAGTGAGTGAGAGAGAGAGAGAGAGAGAAAGTAAAAAGGAGAGACGTAGGAATTGGACGAGATAGATGAGAGAGCTAGGAAATGAAAGCGTGAGAGTGAAAAAATATAGAAAGAGAAAAGGAGAGACAGAAAGAAACAAAGAAATTCAAAAAAAGGAAGAAAGAAAGAAAAAAGAAAAAGAATGAGTTAATGAGAGATAAAGAGAGCGAGAGAGAGAGAGAGTAAAAAGGTGAGACCTAAGAAATGAACGTTATAGAAAAGCAGAAATTAACGATGAGATAGCGAGGAATTGAAAGAGTAAAAAAGAATAGAAAAAGAAAGAAAAAAGAAAAAAGAAAGAAAGAAAGAAAAAGAATGAGAGTGAGAGAGAGTGAGAGATAGAAAAGATATTAGGAGTATAAAACAAAGAAAGGTCATAAAAATTCGAGATCGGAAATTTTCTCAATTTCCGATGAGCGGACAAGACTTAAGAAAAGCGGTGGTTTGAAAATCATTTTAAGGGAATTGTGGAGAGCCATGATCGCCGACATCTTGAATTGCCAATTGATTCGAACCTTATAAAATAGCAAATAATATATCCTTATATTCATATATTTTAATAATTTCGTAAAGGTTTATAAATTTATCAATAAAAAAATTATTTTCATATTTATTTCTTTATAAATTAGTAAATTAGTAATTTATTTAATTTTTTTCTGGCTTCCGACTTATAGCCTAGCTCTCCTGGTTCAATTTCCGACAAACTTAAACCAGCAAAAAAAAACGGTGTTTCAAAAGGAAGGTTTTTCCGTTGACACCGCGCTTTTTTTTTTAACTACATTGATTCTTCGGCAATGCTTATTGTTTTAAAAAGATATGATTAGAATTTTGAGAAAAAACTAAGAATATGAAACTGAATTTATAAATTATCTTTGTTCTTGAGAATTGACATCAGAAATAATAAAGACTATTTATTTTTTATATTGGTTATTTACACTATTTATTCGATTGTTTATTGGAATGGTTTGCAAAACATCGGCTAATTGACAAACCGATTCGAACTTTATAAAATGGTAAATAATAAGTATTTTCTTATATTTGGTTTACATATTTTAATAATTTAGTAAATGTTTATAAATTTATGAATGGCAAATTTTCACATTTATTTCTTTATAAATTGTTAAAGGATAAATATTGCATTGCATTAGTTTTATAAGTTAGAGTGTTGTAAATATAAATTTATTCTTGTAAATAAATAGTATAATAAATAATTAGTGTTTAATTTTTTTGTGGTAAATTCTCAAATTCTCAAGAACAAAATAAATATATTCGTTTTCGTCATGTTTAGGTTTTATACCAATTATAATCCTCGCTTAAACAATAAAGATGGCCGAAGGTAATTAAAATAAAAAGCGGTGTCATAGAAAAACCAGTTCCGTTTTTTAGGAAGCACTGCTGTTTTTCTCTTTGTTACTATGGCTGCTTTCATGTAATAGATTTAGTGTTTGTCTTTGGGGTAACGTGATACAACCAGGCGCTTGATGCCATGTTCTTGGAGGACAGTATTAGATATTTAAGCGTACCGATAGATCAAGGGCATCAATCCTAATGACACTGCGTGGAAAAGAAATAGCATAGCAAATCAACACAAGTGGCTAGATTTTTTTTTGATAATTTTGTGTTTTGTCTCATCCCAACAGAAAAGTATCAAAACACATGTATCAAAATGAAGTATAAGGAAAGTGTAATCGGAGAATTTAACACTCACAGGGCATATTGAAGATACGAAGTGCACCTAAAAATCAGAAAGGGAACATTGTTTGAAAATACGAAGGATATGAAGTTGTGGATCACCATAATCCCATAGACAGACATCATCCGTTAGAGGTTGCATAATTGCGTAACGTTGTTCTGAGGTATAGAAATTGGTGCCGAATGTATGATCAAACCGAATGTATGATCAAGCCGAATTACTGATCAAGCCGAATTACTGATGGAACTGAATTACCGATCAAGATTAATTACTGATCGAACAGAATTACTGATCAAGCCGAATTATTGATCAAGCCGAATTATTGATCAAGCCGAATTATTGATCAAGCCGGATTATTGATTGATTCGTTATAGTCAACTTGTATATTGATGTAAAATAATAGAGGAGATAAATCGAGATGTGAAAGTCAATTACAACTGATTTTTTTTTGTTACCATGGTTGCTTGCATGTAAACGATTCCGACTTTGTCTCTGGGGTAACATGATACACCCAGGTCTCAATTGTTATTGCTGTGGATCAAGGTTAGATCCAGTTGTTTAGAACTACGAAAGATAGGAAGTCGGGGATAGCAATGGTTGTCTAGAATGACTTGATCGGACTAGAGGACGAAACGCGGAATATTTCCCCGTTGCCATTCAATTACTTAACGTTGTTCTGATGTACAGAAATTGTTACCGAATTACTGACGAAACGAATGACTGATCGAAACGGGGCTTACGATACAGCGCTTCTCTCACAATCACTGAAGTTAAGCAACGTTAAGCCTAGTCAATTCTTACATTCTTGATCTCTTGGGAATACCAGGTGCTGTAAGCTCGGGTGTGCGAGTAGTGTAATGGATAATGGCTCAGAATTGTTAATCAGAGTGCCGAGTTAAGCAACACCGAGACTGTTCAGTACCTAGATGGGTAACCGTTTCGGAATACCAGGTGCTGTAATCTTGGGTATGCGACTAGTGTAATGAATAATGGCTGTGAATTGTTAATCAGAGAGACGAGTTAAGCAACACTGCGACTGTTCAATACCTAGATGGGTGACCGTTTCGGAATACCAGGTGCTGTAATCTTGGGTGTGCAACTGGTGTAATGGATAATGTCACGGGATTGTTAATCAGAGAGACGAGTTAAGCAACACCGAGACTGTTCAGTACCTAGATGGGTGACCGTTTCAGAATGACAGGTGCTGTAAGTTTGGATGTGTGAGTAGTGTAATGGATAATGGCTGTGAATTGTTAATCAGAGAGACGAGTTAAGCAACCCCGAGACTGTTCAGTACCTAGATGGGTGACCGTTTCAGAATGACAGGTGCTGTAAGCTTGGATGTGTGAGTAGTGTAATGGATAATGGCTGTGAATTGTTAATCAGAGAGACGAGTTAAGCAACGCCGAGACTGTTCAGTACCTAGATGGGTGACCGTTTCAGAATGACAGGTGCTGTAAGCTTGGATGTGTGAGTAGTGTAATGGATAATGGCTGTGAATTGTTAATCAGAGAGACGAGTTAAGCAACACCGAAACTTTTGTGTACCTAGATGGGTGACCCTTGGGGGATACCAGGTGCAGTAAGCTTGGGGTGTGGGGTAGTGCAATGGCTAATTGCCCGGAATTGTTAATCAAAGAGACGAGTTAAGCAACACTGAGACTGTTCAGTGCCTAGATGGGAGACCGTTTCAGAATACCAGGTGCTTTAATGTTGGGTGTGCGACTAGCGTAATGGATAATGACTCAGAATTGTTAATCAGAGTGCCGAGTTAAGCAACACCGAGACTGTTCATTACCTAGATGGGTGACCGTTAGGGAATACCAGGTGCTGTATGCTTGGGTATGCGAGTAGTGTAATGGATAAAGGCTCGGAATTATTGATCAGAGAGACGAGTTAAGCAACACCGAGACTGTTCAGTACCTAGATGGGTGACTGTTTGGGAATACCAGGTTCTGTAAGCTTGGGTGTGCGAGTAGTGTAATGGATAATGGCACGGAATTGTTAATCAGAGTGCCGAGTTAAGCAACACGGAGACTTTTCAGTGCCTAGATGGGTAACCGTTTCGGAATACCAAGTGCTGTAAGTTTGGGTGTGCGACTAGCGTAATGGATAATGCCTCGGAATTATTAATTAGAGAGTCGAGTTAAGCAACACCGAGACTGTTCATTACCTAGATGGGTGACCGTTTGGGAATACCAGGTGCTGTAAGTGTGGGTGTGCAAGTAGTGTAATGGATAATGATTCAGTTGGGTACGTTATATTCACTTACTCACCTTTGGTAAAGGTATTAATCCACTGTTTCTCCCCTAACTATGGGTTAATTATTAAGACTTGTATTATCCTCTCAAAAAAAATCTTGCAATCTAAAAATATTTTCTGGCTTTAAATAACCTGCAAAGTGTTGATAGGCCGTAAAAACGACGCAGCTGATCGACTGATTGAACCAGATTGCTTGATTTGCTATGATCAACCTCTATGTTGATGTAAAGAAAGATAGATTTTTGTTTTTGTTGCCTTGGGTTCGACGTTTCTCCGGGGGACCATGATACGGTCAGGTGTCATTGTTATTACGGAGATTGACGTCACTTATTTCGAGGACAGAATTAGATGTCTCGGCGATCGTGTACCGTGAAATCAAATGCGCCAATCTCGACGGCGACCACGTGAAGACTAAATCTCACATACGTAAAAATTAGCGTTTCGCTGATTAATATCGACGTGTGGGTGTGTGGCTTTGGGGGTTTTCTCTGGACGCGGATCTTCTAGCGCGGGTGTAAGAGCTTCTCTTTCATTTTCCCTCAACTAGGACGATTATATAACTTACTATCACCCGTTTGTCCCACGTGTGAATATCCTAAGCACAGCTGAGCCAACTACTTGCTTATATATCGGCGCTAGCCACTGACACACTGTGAGGTACGAATATACACCTCGTGGGATAGAAGCGTACCTTCGAATTCAACTTTCTTTTGCATCTGACTTGGTGTGACCGCAAATTCTATTTTGATATAATCTGGGATGATCCTATGATATATTGTGGCCACCACAGATCAATTTCTCTCGGAAAGTTCTTTAATGACATTAAATTCTCTGGTATCCCATACTACATGTACAACCATATAATGTTATTATATGAATTATTATTCGTATAGGCAATCGTTTCAGCTTCACCAATGTCAATCAGGGCACCGTATGCAAAGAAAATTAAACGTCTCTTGCAGATCAATCACTGCGTGTCTCAAGCCAACTAAAGTGGATGACCAATACTTGCTTAGGGGCATCGCTCCCCCTTACATCAGACGGACAGTCCACTCCCATCTTGAGAATTTGAAACTAGAAACTGACCCTCCGCAGCTGTGGACCAATAACAAAGAGGGTCAAGTCTAGACACAGCTTACTACATTCAGTTGAACCGTTAAACAACAGAGCTCCTAGTCAGCGTCTGCCCCTGTGGTACAGCCAACTTAACAACGTGGAACACCTAACTCTCAGCCCTACGGAACACGCTGGCTCCATTGATGCCTGACCCTTCTAGTCCTGCCTAAATCGCCTCCGAACAGCTGTTGGTCACCGTAGAGCCAACCTTCAGAAATGAGGATATGCCGTCGATAGTCATCCCAACTGCCAATGCCGATTACAAGCTAGAGAGCATCTTCTAGTTTTCCCTAATCTTGGAGATCCATGCACACTTCATGACCTTGTGCAGGGCTCTGTGTGCAACACTGGATGCGTCTAGTGTAGCGATTCAATAAAAAAAAAAAAATCGTTTCGGCTGAACACTCCGGCCTTCTTCAGATGTCTATATTCGTACTACGTAACTTTTAAAAAATTCCGTTCGAGCTATTTATTCAGTCCAATGAGCTCGAGTATCCGATGCGCCAAAAATGTTATAGACATCAAAATAAATACGAGAACACAGACTGAGAAAAGAGGGTTTGAAGAATTTAACACTCATACGACCTAGAGAACACAAGAGAGTTAGAGGGAAACAATGATTAATACACGTAACGAGCAGAACAGGGAGTGGAAAGAATAGTAAAAGTCACATCCATTGCTTAAATCTACCTTGGATTAGAAGTTGTGGATAACCATGATCGCGTTACTTTTTCTCTGTTTATAAACATAGAATCCCAAATGGCATTTCTACATTTGCCTTGATAAAGTCCCTAAAGAAGTAGTGCCGAATGTATGGAAAATGGTTGGACGTGTAACGTGATGCCTATTAAGATTGGGTTTTCGTGGGTTTCTGGGACATTCGGTCATTTCCTTCCTTTCATAAATAGGCATCACTGACGGTTAGTTGAAAAGTGTTTCGCATCGCATTCAAAAAACTGTTCAACACGCGTCAGGTTGGATTTGGTCGAGATCAAAACGACAAGCAAATAAAATGCGCGTAACATCACGACCTGACATGCGCAAGTGAAATATTTGCCGGGTGGTCTATAACGATTTTTTATGAGTGCGTCAATAACGGCAAACGTGCTCAGGAAACTTTCATTACGGATAAAAGCTGTAAAGAGGAACAATTGTTTTATTTATTTCATTACGAGAATGTGATGGTAAACTGCATCCGCGTCCATGGATATGACGGTAAACTGCATCCGCGTCCATGGGTATGACGGTAAACTGCATCCGCGTCCTGGGTATGGCGATAAACTGCATCCGCGTCCATGGGTATGACAGTAAACTGTATCCGCGTCCATGGGTATGATTGTAAACTGCATCCGCGTCCATGGGTATGATTGTAAACTGCATCCGCGTCCTGGGTATGGCGATAAACTACGTCCAACAGAAAGATCGTTTTTGAAAAATTAAGGTTGTGTAGTGTGATAAAATTATTGATAGATATGAATAGTTAGAGAGAGAGAGAGAGAGAGAGAGAGAGAGAGAGAGAGAGAGAGAAAGAAATAGATAGATAGATAGATAGATAGATAGATAGATAGATAGAGGGAGAGATTCTGAGAAGTATATCAATGATTTCAGATTCAGAATTAGATGTAAATGTGTAGTGTGATAAAATTATTGGTAGATATGAATAGTTCGAAAGAGAGAGAGAGAGAGAAAGAGAGAGAGAAATAGATAGATAGATAGATAGAGGGAGAGATTCTGAGAAATATATCAACAGTTTTAGATTTAAAATTACATGTAAATGTATAGTATGATATAATTATTGATAGATATGAATAGTTAGAGAGAGAGAGAGAGAGAGAGAGAGAGACAGACAGACAGACAGACAGACAGACAGACAGAGACAGAGGGAGAGAGAAATAGATAGATAGATAGATAGATAGATATAGGGAGAGATTGTGAGAAATATATCAACAGTTTTAGATTTAAAATTAGATGTAAATGTATAGTATGATATGATTATTGATAGATATGAATAGTTAGAGAGAGACAGAGATAGAGACAGAGAGAAATAGATATATAGATAGATAGATAGATATAGGGAGAGATTTGAGAAATATATCAACAGTTTTAGATTTAAAATTACATGTAAATGTATAATGTGATATAATTATTGATAGATATGAATAGTTAGAGAGAATAAGAGGGAAAAATAGAAAGAAAGAGGGAGAGTGAGATTCAAAGCGAGTGAAAGAGAGTTGGTGTATAAAATGGTTGAACAGCAGTAAATTCGAGTCAGTCAGGTATTAATGGCGTTCTTCCACCTTGCTGCTCACTCTTTCCCGGAGCGACGCCATTTTTACTCGGAAACAAATATAGCCGCCGGCGGGAACTGGATCGTCGAGGCGGCAACTGCGGGGAAAAGGTTTTCGAGCGGAAAGAACTCAATTTTCATAGGCGAGAGGGAGTCGAAGAAAGGGTCAAAGAATGAAGAGAAAGTGGGCGGTGAGGAGAGTGAGATTGAAAGAGAAGAAGAGAAGGGGAGAGAGAGAGAGAGAGAGAGAGAGAGAGAGAGAGAGGAAGAGATAGGGTGGTGTCGAGAAAAAAATTGATGAAAAGAAGTTCTGCTAATAATAACTTAAGAATTATTTCTCCGGCCATAACAGCAAACGATACTATTGTCGCCATCGTCGGATCTAACAGGGAATAAAATGTTGACATTGTTTTATCTCAGCGGAAAATTAAAAAAAAGAAAAAAGAAATTGACTCCATCATGTACTGAGATCGTGCGGACCTTAGGTGGGGTCATATAATCATCGTGGCAAATTGATAACATTTATAATTTATATTTCTTTCTTGTGTTATATTAATTTATTTTAAATCTCCCTCAATTCGCACACGAACTAACTAGCATGTAATCTATCTATCTATCTATCTATCTATCTATCTATCTATCTATCTATCTATCTTACATTTCTTTCTCGCTCTCTCTCAATATATATATGTATATAAATTGATCTCATTATGCCTCCCATTTTCTCTCTATATATATTTATCTATCGGTGTATATGTGTGAGTCTATCTATCTATCTATCTATCTATCTATCTATCTATCTATCTATCTATCTATCTATCTATCTATCTCATTCTCTTCATATCTATCTATCTATCTATCTATCTATCTATCTATCTATCTATCTAACGATTTCATTATGCTTCTCTTTTTCTCTCTATCAATCGATGTATGTATGTATGTGAGTCAGTCTGTCTGTCTGTCTGTCTATCTATTTACACCCTCTCTCTCTCTCTCTGTATATCAATATATCTCATTAAACTTCCCTCTCTTTATCTCTCTCTCATTCACTCCCTCTTTCTCACCCCCTTTCGGTCTGTTTATATATATATATATATATATATATATATATATATATATATCTTGATTATGCTTCTCTCTATATATTTACGGATGTTTGAATCTATCTATCTTATATTTCTTTTCTCTCTTTATTTATATATATATATATATATATATATATATATATATATATATATATATATAAATGTATTTCATTATTCTTCGCTTTCTCTCTCTCTATTTATCGGTGTATGCGTGTGAGTTTATCTATCTCATTATGCTTTTCTCTCTCTCTCTATCTCACTATGATTCTTTCCCTCCCTCCATCTTTATCTGTATGTGTGCGTGAGTTCTATTTATCTATCTTATTATATTTCACTCTCTCCCTCTCCCCCTGTCTCTCTCTCTCTCTGTTTGTGTGTGTGTGCGTATATATATATATATATATATATATATATATCGATCTCATTATGCTTCTCTCTTTCTTTCTTTCTTTCTTTCTTTCTTTCTTTCTTACTTTCTTTCTTTCTTCCTCTCTCTCTCTTTATCTTTCGGTGTATTTGTGTGAGTTTATCTATCTATCTATCTATCTATCTATCTATCTATCTATCTATCTATCTATCACATTATGCTTGTTTCTCTCTCTCTCTCTGTCTCTGTTTATCGATCTCCGTATGTTTGCGTGAGTTTATGTATCTGATTATGCTCCTGATTCTCTTTCTCATTATATATATATATATATATATATATATATATATATTAGTGTGTTCTTTATTCATCTATTTATCTATCTATCTATTTATCTATCTGGTTTTCATATCTTTACTTTTTCTCTAAGTATGATTTTATTTCTCTTCTTTTATCGCTCTTTTGTATTTAAATATTTTTTCTTTTATTATTCGTTTTCTTTTCTCTGTGAGTCATTGTCTTTTTTTTTCCTTTCCTCGAATTTTCTTTTCCCTTTCTTTCCTAATAATAACAACACAATTTCCACCTCCCTTCATTTCTCTCTCGTTTCACTTTCCTCCTTCCTCTTTTTACTTACGTGTGATGAGCCTCGTTCTGAAAACTGAAGCCGGTTGCAAATTGAATGACTGAAAGAAATGCACGCATGTTTTTCCCGTCCTACAACTTGTGAACTGGGGTTACGGCTGAAGTAACCTGAAATTATTTGCCTCCAAGGTGCGACCACAGGACAAACGATAACGTAAGTATATACAACATTTGGTCAACCAGGGTTATGGTGATATACACGATACTAAGTTGTATTTTGACAGTCAATATTTTCACACATTCCGTCTTCTTAACATCAACTGTTAGAATACAAGATGGAAGCCGGAGGGCATATCGGGCGAAACGACTGGATAATAACAACAATAATGAAGAGAAATGTTCTGGTGACCTAAACTGGTGTATAACAAGACTTTTCCCATGGAAATCCCAGTGTTTAGTTCGAAATTCGTAGACGGCTATCCGGATCGACTAGAGCCTGATGGAAGCCGGAGAGCAATCGACCGAAACAACTAGATAACAACAATAATGAGGAGAATAGTCTGCGTGTAAATACTGTCTCTTAAAATGTGATATTGAAAATTTAATTGTAAAGCCCCCGTTAACGCTTGTATCAAGGGCTAAGATCCCCTTAGTATAGAGTGTTACTGAATCCAAGCCTGCAATTGCATCGTAATTGGTAGTTGCAATCCGTGGACGGGGCTGTTCAGGCTTGAACTCAATGGATACGAGGACGGCAATAACTGAGCAGTATTAAATCAGAACTGGACGATATACTCCTAGATATGGTCAGCGGAATGAGAACAATCTACCTCGTGGATTAAATAAAGTGTTTAGTTCGAAATTCGTAGACGGCTACCCGGATCGACTAGAGCCTGATGGAAGCCGGAGGGCATATCGGCCGAAATGACTGGATAATAACAACAATAATGAGGAGAATAGTCCGCGTGTAAATACTGTCTCTTAAAATGTGATATTGCAACCTTCAGTTGAACTTGGAAGTTCAATGTAAACTGAAAAAAACATTGCTGACTTACAAAATGATTTTTCGATGATGTTTTCATCAGGTGGAAATCTCGTTGACCAGATTTTGGCAGCTGATCTCACCTCTGATCTAACTCTAGCGGCTCATTAGCGAAAATAAAAAAAACTGGCTTGGCGCATTCAATATCTCAAAACTAAACGAGTGACCTTCTATCATCACCGATCTGAACCAGAACATTCACCAATCATATTGAGCCGATGTTCCCTTAGGGATCCCCTGTGATTTAAGCGTCTATTGGGAATAGATACAACAGTTGGTCAACCAAGGTTATGGTGATATACAGTATGTTGGGTTTGACAGTCAATAATTTCACATATTCCATCTTCTTACCAGCAATTGCAAGAATACAGAAGGCATAGTTTGCAAGAATACAGAACGCATTGTTAGAAAGATTACATTTTTTTACAGTGAGAGTTACCATTTACAATGCCCGGGGGTGGAGGTGGAGGCTAAACCGTGAAGCTTAGGACCAGTGGAAGTAAGGAGTGTAGTTCATCTGAACATTCTCCATGAAAATAGCGATAGCTCAGATCGAGGCTTGTGACGTCTCGTGTTTGAGAAACATGCTATAAGTTGGAAAATAATTCGTCGCCGACAAGGACGCGGGGACGCTTTCAGTATATCCTGTAAGTATCAAATTTTCCAAGCCGTCTTTCCTCAATATGTGACCCAGAAATTTCAACTGTCTCTTTCTGATTCTAAGTAGATGTGATCTTTCTGTTTTCATTTCAAATTTTTCCTCGTTGCCTACGCCCCCTCCCCACTCATGCTATTCACTGAATTCCTCTGTAGAACCAAACCTCTTTTACAACAGCTCACCTCTTTATCTATGAAAGAATTGTCCAGCATTCACTGCTATATAAGAGGATTGGTATAATACAGAATTCAGGTACACATACATTTGTTTTTAATTAAATTTTCCTGTTTCTTAATACTTTGCTTAGTTTACGGTGTCGAATTTTCCGATATGAAAACTATGCTTATTACAAGGTATCCTAAAATTTCACTTGATTTAAATTCCTCTTCACGCTAAAATGAATCTCTTTAGATTTGAAATTCTTTCACTGGGATCCAGGTTTCTCCAGTTTGGAAACAAAAGTGACAGGCTTAAATCCTTTCCAAGTTTACAGCACCTGGTATTCCCAGGGGGTCAGACATTTAAATAATGACCAGGCTCGATGTTGCTTAACTTCAGTGATTGCTTGAGGTGAAATGATTAAAAACATATTTTACAGAAGAACTTCAGACACTGTGGGTAATGTGTAAAACGCACCAGCCTAATCGTAATGATAAAAGTAATGAAAATATGATTTTTTTTCTTTTATGTTCTGTATTCTTTCAAGACGTGGGCGATGATGGCTCTCCACAACTCCCGATCCTTTGTAGATCTTACTAGTGTTTGTCTTCTTACTATGCTTCCCATTCTTCGTTTCGCTTCACAAGCTCGTTATCCATTTCCTACTGTTCTTTGGCCTTCAGTATATCCTGTGAGTATCAAATCTGTATCAAATGGGTATAATAAGATCAAACTAGTCCGAAAATTTAAATATCTGTTCTAACAGAGGACGGAAACTGTGGTATCGAAATAGGAAGATTCATTGGAATAATAAAAGATGCCTTCCAAAAGCTAAGCAGGGTATTAAGAAGCAGGAAGATTTCGTTAGAAGCTTAGAAAAGAGTACTAAACTGTTATGTACTCTCAGTCCTCCTATGTGGCAGTGAATGGTGCCATATAGGAGGACTGATAGTACTTATACATACCCACTACAAAACTGTACATCTTGTTTCAACAATATGAAAGTGTAAAAATAGGTTTTAATACCATCAATATACTTTTGTAAAAAAATATTACTGTCAATGAATTTTTGAAGAAAATAATTATCATCAGCAATACAGTTTTTAAAAAAAATATATTACCAGCAATAAAAACTTGTTGGCATTAAATAACCCTTTGAGGTTGATATAGCGTAAAACAAATCAAACTAAACCAAACCATAATATGTTATCATTGTTTACGTTAAGATATATTTTATAAGCCGATAGGATCGATTGAGAAAAAATCTTCGAAGTTTTATGTTTATGTCAGAAAATGGAAAATGATGATTAACTACTGACACCGATGTTCGAGCGTGATACGCTGGATTTATGAATATATGTTTCCCGCCAGAGGTATAAATAGCGGTGTCAGGCTACTGACTGGCGTGATCATTGAGTGACTATTGAGTGGAACTATCCAGTCGAATTAGTGTGAATTATTGTGTATCCATGATTTGGGTTTTGATTTAGGATTTACCGGACGTTACGGAGAACCGCGCTACTAACAAGGTATTCACTGAAATGGTTAATTATCTTTGATTGACTTTTACTTCTTTGTTCTTGTTAAGTATTTATTGGCGGTTGTAATTAAATACTGTTTTATTTTAACATTGAAGTCTTAATTATTAACGGCCACCGTACGCCACAAATGTTTATAAACAATAATTCGGTTCTTTTTGCTAACCAGACGCTTCTTTGTGGTAGAATGGTTAGATCAAATGATGGTTACCATGGGGGTTACAGTTTCGATCCTTGTTGGAGAAGCACGTTTTCTACGAAAATTCAGATGGAGAAAATAATTGAGGCAGCAGATATGTGATTTTACAAAAGGATACTGAGAATACCATAGACTGAACATATGGGTAACGAGGAAGTTTTAAGGAAAATCGAATAAAAATGGACGCTTATACATAGAAAGAGACAAGTTAAAATTTCAAGGACGTATAATAAGGAAAGAGGGCTTGGTGAATACGAGACTCATTGAAGGCTGGAAGGAAAGAGGCAATCAGCGTGTAACCTACCTAACGAGCTTTACAGAAGAGAGATGACGAAACGATAATACTTAATAACAGTTATATAGGATAGGAAGTTGTGGAGAGCGATGATCATCTACGTCCTGATGGGACACAGCACATGAAGAAGACGGATCGTCTAATCGGCATTTTCAATTTCTGTTGAGTACTTAGAAGTTTGCCACCCACTTGCTTTCTCTGAAATTGGATGGTTCACCGAAAATCTACATTTTAATGCTCGGGTGCAAAATAGTTTTTCTAAATATATACAGGTTGTTCATAAAGTTCGTGTGCACTTTAAAAATTGTATAACTTTACTTGTATTTGCGATAGAAATAATCTGTAAAAAATGTTATAAAGTTTAATGTACCTAGTTTTAAGTATAGCTCAAACAACTATTGTGATTTCAGGTATTACTGTAAATCAGCGAATGTTTTCCGTGAACTGCAAAATCGTATTACCCCCTGCTTTGCTAATGATGGAGGACATGTGGAAACTTTAATAAAATTTCAATAAAACCTTAAAAAAATAGATTTACTTCTTTCTAATCGTTTTTACAAATTATTTCTATCGCAAATACAAATAAAGTTATAAATTTTTGAAAGTGCACACGAACTTTATGGACACCCTGTATTAATTTTTAAAGTATAATATTGAACTTTTATTTGATAAATCTTTCGGATTCCTGTAGATCCTAGAAAGGTATAGATCCATCTCTTAAGCTATTGATAAATAGCAGAACGGACTGTGTCTGAAAGCCTTGGATGGAAACCGGTCTAGAAGGTTAACTTTGGCTTAAATAACTTTATCAACCCGCGATTCTCCAAGCGTGGTGAGTACAGCTAGACTCCTGAAGATATGATCACTCAGCGATGATTTTCTATAATAGTGTGAGAAGGTCCTGTATTTTGATTTAGTTATTATGTTTCCCAAATAGTTAAATTTCAGTATTTAATGTCTCCAATGCGTGTTGGTTTCTCTCGTTTGCAATCGGCCATATATTCTGTCTTCTTAAAGTTGATGGCAAGTCCTTTCTCATTATTTCGCTCGCAGAGAATTAAAAAAAAAATCTATTTGCTCTCAAATACGGCAATATTTGTAGGGTTTGGGCAAAAATATTTTTGTTGTTAAATTCTTTTTTCTTACATAAGATCGATTAGCTGTTTATCACTTATACCTCAGCTTGGGGAGTGAATTTAGAGATTACCAAAACGAAATAGTTAACACCTGAATGTTTGTAACAAAAATAAGAACCAATTTAAAAAAAATATATTTGCGTATGGCTGTGATATAAAACAAATTTATTCCAGGTGTATTTTTAAGTTGACATATTAATTAAAATTGTATAATTAAAACTTCTGATATTATATGAGTGTAGATGTACGACAAAAACTACATTCATCAAAGCAATCACAAATTTGAATAAATTTGAATATATATATATATATATATATATATATATATATATATATATATATATATATATATATATATATATATATATATATATATATATATATGGATAAAGAGCCTAAAATTACTTAAATTAAATAATCTGCAATAAATATGTATAACTAAAGAATAAAATGAAAAGAAATTATTTTTCAATATGACCTTTACGTAACGATCAATGTGTCATGTAATTGCATTAATAATTTTAATTTTTTCAAAGTATTTTTTAGAAAAGTTCGCTAACAAATACCGTTTATATATATATATATATATATATATATACACGTACAGAACATACACGTATATATTTTAATATATTTTCCATTTATATGTTACTTTTATAAATATAATTTATTTAAGTAAATGCACTGTTTTTTTTGTTTTTTATTAAACAGTATTAATTAAATTTTACGGCCTGCATTTTCGTAGAAAACGTGCTTCCCCAACAAGGATTGAACCTGTAACCCCCATGGTAACCATCATTTGATCTAACCATTCTACCACAAAGAAGCGTCTCGTTAGCAAAGAACCGAATTATTGTTTATAAACTTTTGTGACGTACGGTGGCCGTTAATAATTAAGTATAACTTAAGACTTCAATGTAAAAATAAAACAGTATTTAATTACAACCGCCAATAAATACTTAACAAGAACAAAGAAGTAAAAGTCAATCAAAGATAATTAACCATTTCAGTGAATACCTTGTTAGTAGCGCGGTTCGGTTTAACATCCGGTAAATCCGAAATCAAAACCCAAATCATGGATACACAATAATTCACACTAATTCGACTGGATAGTTCCACTCAATAGTCACTCAATAATCACGCCAGTCAGTAGCCTGACACCGCTATTTATACCTCTGGCGGGAAACATATATTCATAAATCCAGCGTATCACGTTCGAACATCGGTGTCAGTAGTTAACCATAATTTTCCATTTTCTGACATAAACATAAAACTTCGAAGATTTTTTTCTTGATCGATCCTATCTGCTTACAACATATATTTTAACGTAAACAATGATAACATATTATGGTTTGATTTGTTTTACAGCATATCATCCTCAAAGGGTTATTTAATGCCAACAATTTTTTTTTTATTGCTGGTAATATATTTTTTTAAAAAAATGTATTGTTGGTGATAATTATTTTCTTCAAAAATTCATTGCCAGTAATATTTTTTTACAAAAATGTATTAATGGTATTAAAACCTATTTTTACACTTTCATAGTGTTGAAATAAGATGTACAGTTTTGTAGTGGATATGTACAAGTTCTAGTGTAACAGTGCATAATAAATAAATATTTATTGCTCTACTTTTGTTTAAGCCCTGTTTTAAATTAATGTTTTGAAAGCTGAAATCTTAATCTTCGTTGTTTTACATTTGGACACACACACACACACACACACACACACACACACACATATATATATATATATATATATATATATATATATATATATATATATATATATATATATATAAATATATATTATGTAATGGTCTAGGTCCGACAATTATTTTGATATATTTTCTGTTTATACGTAATTTTTATAGATACAAATATTTAAGCAACTGCTCTGTTTATAATAAACACTATTAGCAAATACCCGAGGAAATTTCATAGAAAATGCGTGTCCTCCGACAAGAATCGAACCTGTATCCTACACGGAATCGTCATATAGACTGCTGTGCTATACCACTTAGCTACAGAGGAAGCGAACTCAATTTACTGTTTTTAAACACTAAATTTAAACACTAAATTTCCCATGATTTTTTTGGAAATATCATATCTGTTCGAAGCGTATCTTAATGTAAACAAATGACATCATATATTATGAAATGGACTAAGTCCGACAATTATTTTAATATATTTTCTGTTTATACGTTATTTTCATAGATACGAGTATTTAAATAAATGGCCTGCTTGTAATAAACAGTATTAATTAAGTTTACTTTATTGTAATCGTGTAGGGATTTTTAACCTTTTTGTTTTAATATCCTAAAATAAATAATATTTAGCTCTATTCTGTATTGAGCTCTCTTTTAAATTAGGTGTTACTTACAGTGGAATAGGTATACACCATTTGTTCTCATTTTATCTGTATATATATATATATATATATATATATATATAGCTCTATTCTGCATGGAGCTCTCTTTTAAATTAAGTGTTACGTACAGTGGAATAATTATACACCATTTGTTCTCATTTTATCTGTATATATATATATATATATATATATATATAGCTCTATTCTGTATTGAGCCCTCTTTTAAATTAAGTGTTACGTACAGTGGAATAATTATACACCATTTGTTCTCATTTTACCTGTATATATATATATATATATATATATTACACCAACTTTACTGACTTTTGCATGAAAATTATTTTGTTTTCAATAATATATTTATATATTTTATATATTATATTACATTTATATCTCAATTGTTTTTGTTTTGAATCCTGTGTATAATTTTTCTTTGTCATTATTACTCTGTTAATCCATAAATGTTTTGACTTAATTTATTCTGAAATGGTAAAAAACTCTACCGAATTTTATTATGGGAGTGACGATGAATTTAAACGGGCTTCTAAACGAATATTAACTTAGGATTCCCTACAATACCGATTTTTAATTGTTTTTTCCGCTATCTAAAGAGCGAATTCTATGTTCTTCCCAAACCTCTTAGCAACGGAAATTCTATCACGACTGTCGCCATTAGGGTATCTTACCTCACCTAGCCCTGGGCGACGAAAGCGGAAAGGAACGATTGCTGGGGGGCCAACGTGGAAGACGGAAAAGGGTGGATCAGTTCGGAATATTTACCTTTTATATGGAAAGCAAAGACGTATATTTAATAGACTGGTTCGTTTTCTTGCCTTATGGCGAGTATAACAAGAAGCACATGCGACAATGTAAAAATATATGAAAATTCCAGCTGAAAATAGCATTTGAATAGGAAGTTTTTTTTTTAATGCTCAATAAATATTCCCTTTTAGATGTTATTATGCAAGCCTATGTTCCCAGAATAAAAGCGTTATTAAGCATTCGATAGGTGTAAACATTTGATTACATACAATTTCCGAATTATTACTTTCAGACTTATTTTAATTCCATTTTTGCACGTAAATAACGAGGGATGATAAACTGACGTCAAGATATGAGAAAATCTCTCTGTAATAAACGCCTTAAATTCACAGAAAGAAGCACAGGTGCCACGGCCAAATGATTCCTGTACTAAGGTCATTAACGTCTGCTGGATCTGAAATCCATTCTAATTTAAAGAACATTATTCAATATTGTTATGGGACCTTACCCATAATAACATAATGGACTATTCCATACGTAATAAATACTTCGCCTCAAGAGGAAGCAGGGAGTTCAGTCCGAAATCGGGCGACCGGCTGACCAGCTGATCGGTTGAACTCTCTGCCTTCGGACGGGGAGGAACCCGAACGACGCTACGCCGAAGGGCGGAGTCTCTTTCGGGGAGGTAAACCGACCCTGAACCCGTTTATACGGGTTCAAAGGGCATATTTTTTGCCCGAGCCTACGGGCTCGAAGATCCCACGTTAAACCGGCCTTGTGTCACATGATGCCCTCGTGGGGGATGGGGTGACTAAATATTGTTCAGTCTGAAGTCTGGAGTGAAATCTGTCAGGAGTCCGTCAGTCAATCAGAGCGAGCGAGTCAGTCAGTCGAGTCAGAGGCAGTTCGAAACAGAGTCGCGTTCAGACAATTACTACTAAACCTGATTGTTCGTACCAACCCTTTCTACTTCTCTGTATATATTCCTGTTTGTAATATATCTGTGTCACTCCATATACGTATTCGAGTTCTTCTTTATTGGTTCTACCTTGGACTATTCCCATGGTACAAGGAACCGGACCATAACAAATATTCAGCAAAAAGGTTGCAGGTGCAAGAGGAAAAATTTGTGACACCCCGAAAACTGTATTGTATGCATGTCATCTAAAAAAAAAATATTTACATTCACATTTAGAATAATATAAGAAGATACGTGGATATCTATATATCTGTTGTAACCTAGGGAAGGTTACTGAATAGAATAATCAAACGAAGGTTGGTAATGAACGATAATACTTAGAACAAGAACAACACATATAAGATTCGCCAGCGGGGCGTAGAAGTAGTAGTATATTGCTAGAAGTGAGTCAAGTGAATTCCATAATGAATCTCCAACTCTAGGATATCTACCAGCCGCCCCATTCGGTCAGATATAGCACAAGGTCGAATTTAATGTAGGGTATCCGAGTCTGTAGGCTCGGCCAAAAATTCAACGTAGATTACGTATAAAACGGGATCGAGAAGTTGTTTACCGAGGCGAGACTCTGCCCTTTGACATAGCCTCATCTGGGGATCCTCTCTGCCCCTCAAGCAGAGAGTTTGACCAGCACAGCTGGAGACGAATCTCCAACTCTAGACCACGTACAGTATTCACTACTGTATTTATGTCAATGGGGACATATCTATCTATCTATCTATCTATCTATCTATCTATCTATCTAAGCCTGTTATTTTCTTTCTTTCTTTCTTTTTCTTTTTCTTTCTTTCTTTCTTTCTTTCTTTTTCTTTCTTTTCTAAGCCAGTTCTTTCTTTTTCTATCTATCTATCTATCTATCTATCTATCTATCTATCTATCTATCTAAGACTGTTATTTTCTTTCTTTCTTTCTTTCTTTCTTTCTTTCTTTCTTTCTTTCTGTTCATATCTATCTATCTATTCATCTATCTATCTATCTAAGCCTGTTATTTTCTTTCTTTCTTTCTTTCTTTCTTTCTTTCTTTCTTTCTTTCTTTCTTTCTTTCTTTCTAAGCCAGTTCTTTCTTTTCTATCTATCTATCTATCTATATATCTATCTATCTATCTCAGTATGTTCATTATCTATCTGTCTATCTATCTTCTACTTCATGATCTTCATCTTCTCCATCCTTTCTCATTCTATCTATCTATCTATCTATCTATCTATCTATCTATCTATCTATCTATCTATCTATCTATCTCATTCTCTTTATCTCGTTCATTCTCTAGCTTTTCTGTTTCTCCCATCTATCTATCTATCTATCTATCTATCTATCTATCTATCTATCTATCTATGTAAATGAAGCCGCCACAGATATGTATTGAGCTTCTAATTCAAGCATTCAATATCTTTTTTTTTTATCCCTTTCCACTTGCTATCGTAGAGAGGAGACATTAACTCTTGTCCAGACGGAAATTAAAGAAAATAATCGCACTGTCATTAGAGATTTGTTAATTGCTGTTTATTAAGTGATTTCTTTTTTGTATTATGAAATTATTATTGAATAAGACTTCCAATAATAACTGCGTCTCTTGCAAACAAACGAAATGTGTACATATATTTGTAGCAGTTTAAAAATAAAGTCGAAAAATACCTTCACTGTCTAAGCACCACAAAAAAAAAAAAACAAACAAACAAAAAAAAAACTTGGATGTATAAAATTTAATTTTTCATAAAAAATATTTGTCGTGGTAACAAAAATTGTTAAATAGCGCCATTCAATGAATAAATCAGTAAAAATAAAATATAAATGACCTAAAAGAAAATTTAATGAACACTCCCTCCAAAATAACTATTTCAGCTCCAACGGCAAGAGCTTTACTTGAGACAAAACTAAAGACAGAAAGATTGATACGAAAATCATACAAAAAAAAAAAAAAAAAATGTTAAAACACTAACTTCATGCAGTGTCAGGAAAATAAAGACAGAAATGTAAAAAGAAACAGGAATTTTACGAAAATAAACACAAACGAGTCAAGTCAATAAAAACATCAGACAGACACGTAAATAAGCAAAAAAAAAAAAAAAAAAATAATAATAATAAAAGAATAAAAAAAATAGTAACCAAAGAAAAAAAAACAAAAGAAAAGTAAAATAATAGCCTGGAATAACAAGCAAGCAAGTAAAAAAAAAAAAAAGAAATAGAAAAATATCTCAAAGAAGCAGACGACCGAACGAATACACAAGGCATAATGGCGGAAAGAGCTGATTGTAAAACCGAGAATTCATTGAGCTGGATAACGTTTTTAATTGCCCTGTGATTAAATATGAGAGAAAATTCAATTTTTGGCTCTAGGGTCGGGAGAAACATCTCAAAGTAGTTGTAAGAGGAGGTGGAAGCGATGGCCTAGGAAAATGAAGTGAGATAAAGACCAAGAAGTCATGGAAAGTGGTGGGAGGGTTAGAAAGAAAGAAAGTGAAATAAAAATAGATAAAGAACAAAGATAGATATGAACAGATTAATATATATATCGTAATCTCTCTCTTCTCTTCTCTCTATATATATATATATATATATAGAGAGAGAGAGAGAGAGAGGGATAGGGAGAGAGAGGGAGAGAAATAAAGCGAGAGAAGTGGATTGAAAGCGGAGATGTAAAAGGCAAAAGAGAAAAGAGAGACAGAGATGTGAAAGTAAATCAATATATATCAAGAATGGATTAGCGGGATAGATAGATAGATAGATAGATAGATAGATAGATAGATAGATAGATAGATAGATAGATATGAGCAGGAGTGGCGGATAGAGAAAGAAAGTAGTGAAATGATGATAGATAATGAAGAGGCCGAGAAAGAAAGAAAGAAAAAAAGAAAGAAAGATAGAAAGAAAGATAATTGAAATTAAATAGTGATAGGTATGAACTGATTAAAGTAGATAGATAGACAGATAGATAGATAGATAGATAGATAGATAGATAGATAGATAGATAGATATGAGCAGGAGTGGCGGATAGAGAAAGAAAGTAGTGAAATGATGATAGATAATGAAGAGGCCGAGAAAAAAGAAAGAAAGAAAGAAAGAAAGAAAGAAAGAAAGAAAGAAAGAAAGAAAATTGAAATTAAATAGTGATAGGTATGAACTGATTAAAGTAGATAGATAGATAGATAGATAGATAGATAGATAGATAGATAGATAGATAGATAGATATGAGCAGGAGTGGCGGATAGAGAAAGAAAGTAGTGAAATGATGATAGATAATGAAGAGGCCGAGAAAGAAAGAAAGAAAGAAAGAAAGAAAGAAAATTGAAATTAAATAGTGATAGGTATGAACTGATTAAAGTAGATAGATAGATAGATAGATAGATAGATAGATAGATAGATAGATAGATAGTTAGATAGATAGAGAAAGCATAGCGGATTGGAAGAAATAAACATAGTCAAGAGAAAGAAAGATAAAGATAAAGAGAAAGAGAGGGAAATGAGAGTTACAGATAGGAAATAAAATAGTGAAAAACAGTTAAACAGATAATGAAGAGATTAAAAAGGGAAAGAAAGAAAGAAATGGAAAGAGAGGTGGATAGATTACTGGATGGAAAGGAGAAAAACAGACAGTAAATACAGAGAAGAGAGAGAAAGTAAGAGAGAGAGGGAGAGAGAGAGAGAGAGAGAGAGAGAGAGGAAAAGGACGTGACGGACAGAGAAATAGAGAGAGAAAAGTAGAGAGATAATTGAGAAATATAGTGATGAAGAGGAAGGAGGAAAAAAATAAGAGTTTATGGAGTTGGACGTGAAAGAAGCCTATGAATGAGAAGAAGGACGTCTACTGGAAAGAGAAAGAAAAAGTCATAGACACAACAGATAAAAAGGATAGAGAAAAAAAAGAGAAGAAAGAAAAGGTATGGAATATGAATGATGGTGAGGAAGAGTGAACAACGTAAGAGATAGATTTATGGAAGAAAGAGGGAGAGAGAAGAGAAAGAAAGTCCTTCCCATTCTTGTAAAAAACGCTTTATTCCTTGTTCTCTGATTACGATTGGACGTACGGCTACTTCTAAAGACGTTTCATTCTATTTCAATCCAAATTACTCCTTGCGTTTTCGTGGGATTATCGCTTTGCATGGGGTAAATTGATTTAAACAAAAAGGCAATCTTCGATGCATGTTAACAGACAAGAATAGATAGATAGATATGAATAGACTGAGATAGATAGATAGATAGATAGATAGATAGATAGATAGATAGATAGATAGATAGATACGAATAGACTGAGATAGATAGATAGGTTCACCTATCGCCCATGTCACACTCTTCCCCGTATTTTTGTACATGATATATCCCTTGTTCTCTGTTTCCAGTCTCTTCGAAAGTCTTTTCATTCTCTTTTAATCTCAGTAGCCACTGAGTCTTAGTGACATTATCGCTTCACTTTGGTTGAACTGATTTAAAAAAAAAAACAGTGAATTTTCAATATATGTTAACAGACACGAATAGATAATTATATATGAATAGACCGAGATAGATAGATAGATATACACATTGAGATAGATAGATAGATAGATAGATAGATAGATAGATAGATAGATAAGAACAGAGTGAGATAGGTAGATAGATAGATATGAAGAAATTATAATAGATAGATATGTAGACAGGTAGATATGAATAAACAAAGATAGATATAAACAGATTGTAATAAATAGATAGATAAGAACAGACTGTAATAAACAGATAGATAGATAGATAGATAATGAACATACTGAGATAGATAGATAGATAGATAGATAGATGGATAGATAGATAGATAGATAGATAGATAGATATGAACAAACTGTAATAAAAAGAAAGGCATTTAACAGACTGTATTAGATAGGGAGAGTGTGAAGAGAACATCGATACATAGATAGATAAATAGATATGAAGAAATTAGATAGATATGAATATAGATAGATGGATAGATAGATAGATAATAAATAGCCTAAGATAGATAGATAGATAGATAGATAGATAGAGAGATAGATAGATAGATATGAATAGGTTGAGATATAGATAGAGATTGAAATACGTATAGAAATAGACAGTGATAGGTATGAATAGGCTGATACATACATATACACACACACACACACACACATATATATATGATATATATATATATAGATAGATATGTATAGGCTGAGATAGTTATGCATAGGCTGAAAGAGATACGTATATAGATATGAATAGGGTGAGATAGATATGAATAGGGTGAGTTATATAGCTAGATAGATATGAACAGGCATAGATAGATAGCTTGTCCTATCGCCCGGTTCACACACCTCCTTGTTTCTTTAAGAAAGATTTATTCTTTTTCCTCTGTTTAGGATTGTGCTTGCGATTACTTCTAAAGGATATGCATTTTTTTTCACTCAGTGTAGCTCTTTGACTTCGTGGTATTATCGCCTTGCTTTGGGCGAATTGATAAAAAAAGGGTAGAAAAGAGAGGAAGTGTATAAAAGACACATGATAGTAGGAAATCGACAAAACCGAAAGGGAAAATATCTAAAGAATAGTCTTTGGAATATGAGTCGAGGAAAAAGATGAAATTTACAGGAGACAAATTTAGGATAAAAATGCTTAAAATACAGCTGGCATATATGGTCCGGTGCTTCTGCTATTTACCTTGAGCTCCTTAATAAAATCCAAAGAAGAATCAGCAATATTATTGGTCCTGATCTGGTGACTCGGCTTCAGGGAATTTCTCAACGCGGTAAGGTGGCCTCTATGTCTCTTTTCCAGAAATGCTTTTAAGATAGTTGTTCAAATGAGTTCTTCGCTTGGGGTATAGATTTTTAGATTGTGCTTTTATACCCGCTACTCCCATAGACAAAAAATGTACATATAGAGACAAGTTACGTCTTTATGGAGATTCTGAGGTATTATGTTCGATGTAGTAAGAAGGGCAGGAAAGAATGTGTTGTTTTTGTGTAAGGAGTAGGGTTGTATGGGACAGTGATTTGGGCTAGCTAAGTTTAAGGTGAGGGAGATTAAAGAACAGCCTTCCTCTATTCCCCTCTTTTTGGCTTTGTGCCAAATTTTTGTATTCAGAGAGTGAGGAGAAGAGACGAGAGATTGAGGAAAAAAGAAAGAGACAAGATGGTGAGGAAAAAGAAAGAGAAAAGAGAGCGAGGAAAAGAAAGAGGCAAGAGAGTGAGGAAAAAAGAAAGAGACAAGAGAGTGAGGAAAAAAGAAAGAGACAAGAGAGTGAGGAAAAAAGAAAGAGACAAGAGAGTGGGGAAAAGAAAGAGACAAGATAGTGAGGAAAAAAGAAAGAGACAAGAGAGTGAGGAAAAAAGAAAGAGACAAGAGAGTGAGGAAAAAAGAAAGAGACAAGAGAGTGAGGAAAAAAGAAAGAGACAAGAGAGTGAGGAAAAAAAGAAAGAGACAAGTGAGGAAAAAAAGAAAGAGACAAGAGAGTGAGGAAAAAAGAAAGAGACAAGAGAGTGGGGAAAAAAGAAAGAGACAAGAGAGTGAGGAAAAAAGAAAGAGACAAGAGAGTGAGGAAAAAAGAAAGAGACAAGAGAGTGAGGAAAAAAGAAAGAGACAAGATAGTGAGGAAAAAAGAAAGAGACAAGAGAGTGAGGAAAAGAAAGAGACAAGATAGTGAGGAAAAAAGAAAGAGACAAGAGAGTGGGGATAAAAAGAAAGAGACAAGAGTGAGGAAAAAGAAAGAGACAAGAGAGGAGGAAAAAGAAAGAGACAAAGAGAGTGAGGAAAAAGAAAGAGACAAGAGAGTGGGAAAAAAAAAGAAAGAGACAAGAGGTGAGGGAAAAGAAAGAGACAAGATAGTGAGGAAAGAAAAGAGAAGAGAGTGGGGCAAAAAAGAAAGAGACAAGAGAGTGAGGAAAAAAGAAAGAGACAAGAGTGTGAAGAAAAAAGAAAGAGACAAGAGAGTTGGGAAAAAAGAAAGAGGCAAGAGAGTGAGGAAAAGAAAGAGACAAGATAGTGAGGAAAAAAGAAAGAGACAAGAGAGTGGGGAAAAAAGAAAGAGACAAGAGAGTGATGAAAAAAGAAAGAGACAAGAGAGAGGGGAAAAAAAAGAAAGAGACAAGAGAGAGAGGAAAAAAGAAAGAGACAAGAGAGTGAGGAAAAAAAAAGAGAGACAAGAGAGGAGGAAAAACGAAAGAGACAAGAGAGAGGGGGAAAAAAGAAGAGAGAAGAGAGTGAGAAAAAAAAGAAAGAGACAAGAGAGTGAGGAAAAAGAAAGAGACAAGAGTGTGAGGAAAAAAGAAAGAGACAAGATAGTGAGAGGAAAAAGAAAGAGACAAGAGAGGGGAAAAAAAGAAAGAGACAATAGAGTGAGGGAAAAAGAAAGAGACAAGAGAAAGAGGAAAAAAGAAAGAGACAAGAGAGTGAGGAAAAAAAGAAAGAGACAAGAGAGTGGGGAAAAGAAAGAGACAAGATAGTGAGGAAAAAAGAAAGAGACAAGAGAGTGAGGGAAAAAAGAAAGAGACAAGAGAGTGGGGAAAAGAAAAGAGACAAAGAGAGTGAGGAAAAAAAGAAAGAGACAAGAGAGTGAGGAAAAAGAAAGAGACAAGATAGTGAGGAAAAAGAAAGAGACAAGAGAGAGGAAAAAAGAAAGAGACAAGAGAGTGGGGAAAAAAGAAAGAGACAAGAGAGTGAGGAAAAAAAAAGAGACAAGAGAGTGAAGAAAAAAGAAAGAGACAAGATAGTGAGGAAAAAGAAAGAGACAAAGAGTGGGGAAAAAAGAAAGAGACAAGAGAGGAGGGAAAAAATAAAGAGACAAGAGAGTGAGGAAAAAATAAAGAGACAAGAGAGTGGGGAAAAAAAAAGACAAGAGAGTGAGGTAGAGAAAGAGAAAAAAGAGTGATGAAAGAAAGAGACAAGAGAGTGAGGAAAAGAAAGAGACAAGAGAGTGAGGAAAAGAAAGAGACAAGAGAGTGAGGAAAAAAGAAAGAGACAAGAGAGTGGGGAAAAAGAAAGAGACAAGAGAGTGGGGAAAAAAAAGAAAAAAGACAAGTGAGTGAGAAAAAAAAAGAAAGAGACAAGAGAGTGAGGAAAAAAGAAAGAGACAAGAGAGGGGAAAAAAAAGAGACAAAGAGAGGGGGAAAAAGAAAGGACAATATAGAGAGGAAAAAGAAAGAGACAAGAGAAAAAAAAAAAAAGAGACAAGAGAGTGGGGAAAAAAGAAAGAGACAAGAGAGTGAGGAAGAGAAAGAGAAAAAAGAGTGATGAAAAGAAAGAGACAAGAGAGTGAGGAAAAGAAAGAGACAAGAGAGTGAGGAAAAAAGAAAGAGACAAGAGAGTGGGGAAAAAAGAAAGAGACAAGAGAGTGAGGAAAAAAGAAAGAGACAAGAGAGTGAGGAAAAAAGAAAGAGACAAGATAGTGAGGAAAAAAGAAAGAGACAAGAGAGTGAGGAAAAGAAAGAGACAAGAGAGTGAGGAAAAGAAAGAGACAAGAGAGTGGGGAAAAAGAAAGAGACAAGAGAGTGAGGAAAAAAGAAAGAGACAAGAGAGTGAGGAAAAAAGAAAGAGACAAGAGAGTGAGGAAAAACAAAGAAAGAGACAAGATGAAAGAAAAAAGAAAAGAGACAAGAGAGTGGGGAAAAAAAGAAAGAGACAAGAGAGTGAGGAAAAGAAAGAGACAAGATAGAATGAGGAAAAAAAGAAAGAGACAAGAGAGGGAGAAAAAAGAAAGAGACAAGAGAGTGAGTAAAAAAAAAAGAAAGAGACAAGAGATTGAGGAAAAGAGACAAGAGAGAGGAGGAAAAAAAAGAGACAAGAGAGGAGGAAAAGAAAGAGACAAGATAGTGAGGAAAAAAAGAAAGAGACAAGATAGTGAGGAAAAAAAAGAAAAGAGACAAGAGAGTGAGGAAAAAAGAAAGAGACAAGAGAGTGGGGAAAAAAAGAAAGAGAAAGAGAAGAGGAAAAAGAAAGAGACAAGAGAGAGGAAAAAAGAAAGAGACAGAGAGAGGGGAAAAAAAAAAGAGACAAGAGAGTGAGGAAAAGAAAGAGACAAGAGAGTGAGGAAGAGAAAGAGAAAAAGAGATGAAAAGAAAGAGAAAAGAGAAAGAGGAAAAGAAAGAGAAAGAGAGTGAGGAAAAAAAAGAGACAAGAGAGTGGGGAAAAAGAAAGAGACAAGTGAGTGGGGAAAAAAAAAAGACAAGAGAGTGAGAAAAAAGAAAGAGACAAGAGAGAGGAAAAAAGAAAGAGACAAGATAGTGAGGAAAAAAGAAAGAGACAAGAGAGAGGAGGAAAAAGAAAGAGACAAGAGAGTGAGGAAGAGAAAAGAGACAAGAGAGAGGAAAAGAAAGAGACAAGATAGTGAGGAAAAAAGAAAGAGACAAGAGAGTGAGGAAAAAAGAAAGAGACAAGAGAGTGAGGAAAAAAGAAAGAGACAAGATAGTGAGGAAAAAAGAAAGAGACAAGAGGGTGAGGAAAAAGAAAGAGACAAGAGAGGGAAAAAAAAAGAGAAGAGAAGAGAGTGAGGAAAAAGAAAAAAGAGACAAGAGAGTGGGGAAAAAAAGAAAGAGACAAGAGAGGAGGAAAAAAAAGAAAGAGACAAGAGGAGGAAAAAAAGAAAAGACAAGAGAGTGAGGAAAAAGAAAGAGACAAGATAGCGAGGAAAAAAGAAAGAGACAAGAGAGTGGGGAAAAAAGAAAGAGACAAGAGAGAGGAGGAAAAAAGAAAAAGAGACAAGAGATGAGGAAAAAAAAGAAAGAGACAAGAGAGTGGAAAAAAAGAAAGAGACAAGAGAGTGAGGAAAAAAGAAAGAGACAAGAGATTGAGGAAAAAAGAAAGAGACAAGAGAGTGAGAAAAAAAAGAAAGAGACAAGAGAGTGAGGAAAAAAAAGAGACAAGATGAGTGAGGAAAAAAAAGAAAGAGACAAGAGAGTGAGGAAAAAAAGAAAAGAGACAAGATAGTGAGGAAAAAAAAAGAAAAGAGAGTGAGGAAAAAGAAAGAGACAAGAGAGTGGGGGAAAAAAGAAAGAGACAAGAGAGTGAGGAAAAGAAAGAGACAAGAGAAGGAAAAAAAGAAAGAGACAAGAGAGTGGGGGAAAAAGAAAGAGACAAGAGAGGAGAGGAAAAGAAAGAGACAAGAGAAAAAAAAAAAGAAAGGGACAAGGTAGTGAGGAAAAAGAAAGAGACAAGAGAGTGAGGAAAAAAAAAGAGACAAGAGAGTGGGAGAAAAAAGAAAAGAGACAAGATAGTGAGGAAAAAAAAAAAGAGACAAGAGAGAGGAAAAAAAGAAAGAGACAAGAGAGGAAAAAAAAAAAGAAAGAGACAAGATAGTGAGGAAAAAGAAAGAGACAAGAGAGGAGGAAAAAGAAAGAGACAAGAGAGGAGGAAAAAAGAAAGAGACAAGAGAGGAGGAAAAGAAAGAGACAAGAGAGTGAGAGGAAAAAAAGAGACAAGAGAGTGGGGAAAAAAGAAAGAGACAAGAGAGTGAGGAAAAAAGAAAGAGACAAGAGAGTGAGGAAAAAGAAAGAGACAAGATAGCGAGGAAAAAAGAAAGAGACAAGAGAGTGGGGAAAAAAGAAAGAGACAAGAGAGTGAGGAAAAGAAAGAGACAAGATAGAAAAGGAGGAAAAAGAAAGAGACAAGAGAGGGGGAAAAAGAAAGAGACAAGAGAGTGGGGAAAAAAAGAAAAGAGACAAGAGAGGAGGAAGAGAAAGAAAAAAGGAGAGATGAAAAGAAAGAGACAAGAGAGTGAGGAAAAGAAAGAGACAAGAGAGTGAGGAAAAAGAAAGAGACAAGAGAGTGGAAAAGAAAAAAAAAGAAAGAGACATGAGTGGGGAAAAAGAAAGAGACAAGAGAGTGAGGAAGAGAAAGAGAAAAAAAAGGAAAAAAAGAAAGAGACAAGAGAGTGAGGAAAAAAAAGAAAGAGACAAGATAGTGAGGAAAAAGAAAGAGACAAGAGAGTGGGGAAAAAGAAAGAGACAAGAGAGTGAGGAAAAAAGAAAGAGACAAGAGAGTGGGGAAAAAAGAAAGAGACAAGAGAGTGGGGAAAAAGAAAGAGACAAGAGAGTGAGGAAGAGAAAGAGAAAAAAGAGTGATGAAAAGAAAGAGACAAGAGAGTGAGGAAAAGAAAGAGACAAGAGAGTGAGGAAAAAAGAAAGAGACAAGATAGTGAGGAAAAAAGAAAGAGACAAGAGAGTGAGGAAAAAAGAAAGAGACAAGAGACTGAGGAAGAGAAAGAGAAAAAAGAGTGATGAAAAGAAAGAGAGAAGAGGGTGAGGAAAAGAAAGAGACAAGAGAGTGAGGAAAAAAGAAAGAGACAAGATAGTGAGGAAAAATGAAAGAGACAAGAGAGTGAGGAAAAAAGAAAGAGACAAGAGAGTGGGGAAAAAGAAAGAGACAAGAGAATGGGGAAAAAGAAAGAGACAAGAGAGTGAGGAAGAGAAAGAAAAAAGTGATGAAAAGAAAGAGACAAGAGAGGAGGAAAAGAAAGAGACAAGAGAGTGAGGAAAAAAAGAAAAGAGACAAGAGAGGGAAAAAAAAGAAAGAGACAAGAGAAAAGGAAAAAAGAAAGAGACAAGAGAGTGGGGAAAAAAGAAAGAGACAAGAGAGTGAGGAAGAGAAAGAGAAAAAAGAGTGATGAAAAGAAAGAGAGAAGAGGGTGAGGAAAAGAAAGAGACAAGAGAGTGAGGAAAAAAGAAAGAGACAAGATAGTGAGGAAAAAAGAAAGAGACAAGAGAGTGAGGAAAAAAGAAAGAGACAAGAGGGTGAGGAAAAAAGAAAGAGACAAGAGTGTGGGGAAAAAAGAAAGAGACAAGAGAGTGACAAAAAGAAAGAGACAAGATAGTGAGGAAAAAAGAAAGAGACAAGAGAGTGGGGAAAAAAGAAAGAGACAAGAGAGTGAGGAAAAGAAAGAGACAAGAGAGTGAGGAAAAAAGAAAGAGACAAGATAGTGAGGAAAAATGAAAGAGACAAGAGAGTGAGGAAAAATGAAAGAGACAAGAGAGTGAGGAAAAAAGAAAGAGACAAGAGAGTGAGGAAAAAAGAAAGAGACAAGAGGGTGAAGAAAAAAAGAAAGAGACAAGAGTGTGGGGAAAAAAGAAAGAGACAAGAGAGTGAGGAAAAGAAAGAGACAAGATAGTGAGGAAAAAAGAAAGAGACAAGAGAGTGGGGAAAAAAGAAAGAGACAAGAGTGTGGGGAAAAAACAAAGAGACAAGAGAGTGAGGAAAAAAGAAAGAGACAAGATAGTGAGGAAAAAAAAGAAAGAGACAAAGAGGAGGAAAGAGAAAAGAAAAAAGAGTGATGAAAAGAAAGAGACAAGAGAGTGAGGAAAAGAAAGAGACAAGAGAGTGAGGAAAAAAGAAAGAGACAAGAGAGTGGGGGAAAAAGAAAGAGACAAGAGAGTGGGGAAAAAAGAAAGAGACAAGAGAGTGGGGAAAAAAGAAAGAGACAAGAGAGTGAGGAAGAGAAAGAGAAAAAAGAGTGATGAAATGAAAGAGAGAAGAGGGTGAGGAAAAGAAAGAGAGTTAGAAAAAAAAAGATACAAGAGACTGAAGAAAAAAGAAAGAGACAAGAGAGTGAGACAAAAAGAAAGAGAAAAGAGAGTGAGGAAAAAAATAGAAAAGATGGTGAGGAAAAGTAAGACACGAGTGAGTGATTAAAAAGAATGAGACTCAGTAAAATAAGAAAAAAAAAAGAGCAAGAAAGGAAAGGTAAGAAGAAAGAGAATGAAAGAAAAAAAAAACACTTCTGGTAAATAGGAAATTAAACGTAGGAGGAGGTTAAAATTATATTGGGGTGGATGAGGAGAGAAAGCAAAGAGAGGGAGGGAAGGAGAGACACATAAGACCAAGGAATCAACAATGGAGTGTAAGAAAAAAGGCTAAAGACAAATAAAAAGTTTGGACAAGGAAGTCAAGCGAAGAAGCGACGAATTAATAAAGATAATAGACAAAAATAACAAGCGAGAAAAGTTTTCATGTTAATTGCTAGAAATACAATGATGCAAATATACAACTCAGCGAGCAACGCTGTAGTGAGAATGCTGCTCTCCCGGACTGAGGGTGGGTAGTTTGATTAAATTACTCGTGTACGACTCCACCGGGTGCTGAACTAATCAAGGGTCGGCGCGACAAAGATTTAAGCAGGAGAAACTTGAAATCTGACGGTTGTCGAGGTGTTGAGGGACAGCAATGGAAGTGCGTGATTTGCATTTCAGCATAGGAATTTAAACTGAGGATTATGGCATGACGGGTCGATTGTTTGACCTAATACAATCATCCCTGTCAAACCGTGAATTGAAGGTCGTTCTCAATGGATTCTCCTCCAGTTCCTATCCCACGAACGCAGGTGTTCCCCAAGGATAACAGTCCGAATAATGTAAATAAGGCAAGTAATCATAATACCTCATCTCAGAGATATAGAGGCCGAACTGTTGTGAATATGGCAATGTAGATGAGGATAACAGTTCGAATAATGTAAATAAGGCAAGTACTCATAATACCTCATCTCAGAGATATATAGGCCGAAATTTTGTGAATATGGCATTCATTGATAACAGTCCGAATAATGTAAATAATGTAGGTAATCATAATACCTCATCTCAGAGATATAGATGCCGAACTGTTGTGAATATGTCAATGAGGATAACAGTCCGAATAATGTAAATAATGCAAGTAATCGTAATACCTCATCTCAGAGATAAAGACAGTTACTAAAATAATTTATTTGTGAATAAGTCCTGAAAGTTTAATTAAAATCCGATAAATATTTGATATTTGCCAGAATTTTTAAATCAAAGTGTTAAAAAATCAGGCGTGGAGTAAGGAAAACAATATTTTTACCAAAATTATAACGGCTTATAATCATTAAAATTTTAATTTAATAATAAAAAATCCTTTAGTCTTTTTTTTTTATCTTAATAATAGCATAACTTTTTTGACGATCCTTGTCTTTATTAAGTTTTTATTCAGTATTTATTCATCGTGATAGGCTCATTTTTTAATGAATCTTTGGGGATACCTGGTTATAATAACAATCTTGGACCTAGTTATTTCCTGTAATAAATACGTCTAAAGCAATTTTTTTTTCATTGACAACTAAAGTAATATCGTGGTCACAAAATTTACTATTTAACTTATATGGACCTTCAGGTACCATATTTACTTTGTTTGAGAACCCCCTGCACCAAGTTATAGTCAATGATATCTCATCATTCCAGAAATTTATATAGAGATTATTCGTTCTTCCAGAAAAGTACAAATTTAGCAAAATGCGAAGAGACGGACTTGCTGTAAGTCTTGGATGATTTATTTACATTATTTACATGCGCACAATTGTCCACGCCTTTAGAGTTTATGTCACAATGTTTCAGACCTTATTCTCTTTGGCCTGCAACAGACATAGAAGACTCAGATGTCTGACGGGATCAGCACATATGCTAGCTTATGAGGACCTCCTGACTAGGCCTAGCATGGAAATAAATACGATATGGGAGCCTCAAAGAAAGAAAGAAAGAGAACTGACAGCAAGGCTTCAACAGCAGCCGCAGTAGAAAAGAGAAGCTCTGATGAATCAGTCAAGCATGACAAGTAATAGCAGAACGCTTCAGGAAACAGGTTATGTTTAAGTCTCTAAATTCTACCCTAGTGGATTAAAGTTTTGGTTTGTGAATATGGTGACGTAGTAATTTTAGTGTTTTTAATCATTTCACCCCAAACAAGGCAATAAAACCACGAAGAGAAAAGTGATTACTGAATAATTAACTCATATGTGCTGGTATCTGGCTGTCGGTTCCTCGGAACTGAGTTGCTGACCTTCATACGTCGAATACGATGGGGAAGTCCACCATATATATATATATATATATATATATATATATATATATATATATGTTTCGTTAAAAACGACAGACAAGGTACTACAGTTGAGCTTTTATTTAATTTTTCTTGTGTTCTGACAAGAGCTTCTTTTCTTTTATCTATTATAAAAAATTTAAGACGGCCAACCTTATCCTCAAAAATAACAACACACCAACGAAGTCAAAATTACAAAGAGCGAACATTATCTATGAGTTCAAATGCCTTTAAGGAACTGCGTTCCTCACCAAAACCGGACTCATAAATAATTACATCGGCTACACAACCACATGTTTATCCAGACGTCTTACATTACACCTATCTGATCACAGTTCCATCAGAACACATTTAAACACACACTCAGATTTACCTGACACTATTAGGAACATACTAGTAGAAAACACTAATATATTAACTGCATCCACTTGCAAAAAAAAAGACTAAAAATAATGGAAGCTCTAATAATAAAAAAAAAAAAAGCCAACTCTTAACAATATCAATTATGAACAAAGCCACAATGTGCTAACCGTATTCGGAAACTAAAACATCACTACCACACACTGAACATACATAGAACACACACTCTACTTGATAATGAATATCCATCATTGAACCATCCTTGATAATGGCTAAAAGTATAGCCGAAAGCGCTCGGAAAACAGAACATTCGGACAGTTCTTACACTCTTTGTCCAGAAAAGAAGGCTCTTGTCAGAACACAAGAAAAATTAAATAAAAAGCTCAACTGTAGTACCTTGTCTGTCGTTTTAACGAAACATGCATAAAGGAAGGATTGCTGCCTAATTATATATATATATATATATATATATATATATATATATATATTAAAACAATACACGGACATGGTAATAATGATAGTCTTATTTTTTGTTTGCCTGGAAGATTTCTAAGCATTTCGTGTATAAGAGACACTGGAACTCTCCTAAAAATCGCACCGCGGCTCATGACGTCCCTGGTTGATCACGCGGGGAGTGAAAACGAGAAGTGTTAAGTATGGAAGCCTATTTGGTATAAGCCAATGGCTTCTGCTATCAATTATAGGCATTTGAGTATATTTGAGGAGTTTTCATAGTTTATTTTGTTCAGTTTAGGCTTCAACAGACTAATATTGTTGTTATGTCTGTGTATTGTTTAATATATTGTAATGTCATTGTCATCTTTGATCATTGTTTATGTAAGCCGAAAGCTTAGATTGGATTAAAAATATGTATCGATTTAAGCTTATCAGACGATATGAAAGAAATTTGCATAAAATAAATACACAAAACTTGTCTATATTATTTAATGAAACATGCATCAATAAAAAATGCTGCCTAAAAATAGTAAAACAAATATATATATATATATATATATATATATATATATATATATATATATATATTTTGAACAATAAGAAAAACTAAAATTAAAAAATTAAAATCATTAGACACACTGGGTTGTAGATTAATATTTTTTTTTTTTATTATTATTATTCCATTTAGATTCCTCGACTAGTTTCGACCAAATGGCCATCATCGGGAGGAAAAATGTTTCTGCTTGTTGGTAGCAGTAAACTACAGAAATTAATCTTTGGCTGGAGAAAATGAACTTTTGTCTGTAGTTTTCATTTGTTTTTTTTATTTTTTTTTTTTTAACATGAATCTTTTAACATTCCTTGTGTTGGTCAAACAGTCTCTTTTAAGTTGTTATTTGAGATAAGAACTGGATGGATACATTTTATCCTGAATTCTCTGGTCAGTTTGACAGTTTTATTGGACCTGGTGGGAGGGATGTGTCTCTGTTTAGTGTTTTTGTGTGTGTTATTTGGTTCTTAGGGGGTGAGTGAGTATGATATGTGTAAGTGTGTGTATTGCTGTAGGTGTGTGTTATCATTTGGCTCATTAGGGAGTGAGTGAGTATGGTGTGTACGTGTGTATAATCGTGTGGGTGAGTGTATAAGTGTGAGGCCTCCATTCTCCGGTAAGCATGTCTGTCTTGTGTGGGTGAGAAATGTGGGTAGGTTTTGATTTGTTGATAGTTACTATTATATATTGTTAAATTTATGATTTAGCCCGTCTGGGTATTGTGTTTTTAGACGTTGTATCCACTTATTTTCATGGGACTCTAAAATCTTTCTAATGTTATCTGCTCTGAACTTTTCTATTCTCTCAATTATAGTGAATCTGGCATGGGTTTTGAAATCGTGTTTTTCTAGGCGGAAATGTTCTACAGATAATAACTGTTCATAGGGAGTCGATTTAATTCGCTTACGATAATTATTAATTCTGTAGTTAAAGGGCCATTCAGATTTTCCTACATATTGTTTCTGGCATAGTGTGCATTCTAGGAGGTAAATTATGTTTTGACTTCTACAGTTAGAATCGTGGTAGATTTTGAAAGTAGATTTAGTGATTGAGCTAGTGAATGAATTCGTGTTTTTAATATGGTTGCAACATAAACTTCTTTTGTTGTTACATGGTTGGGAAAATCCTGTTGTTTTTGTTCTCAGTTTCTTACGGATTACCTTGTCCCCTGAAATGTGGTTACTACCTATGATTTCTTTTAGGTTCTTAGGTCTACAATATGCAAGAAGGCCGGGTTCCTTAAGCCGGGTTCTATATATATATATATATATATATATAATTAAATAAAAAGAAAGAACAGTAAGATATATAATCCGGTGTTCTTATAGATATTTTTATTTTTACAAAATAGTGCTCGATGTAAATTTACAGAGCATTAATATTATAAATTAATTGATTTAAAATATGGTTTTTTCCGCTACACAGTTCTAACCATGTTTCAAAAATGGAAGCTAAAAGCCCCGAATTTAATTTTGTAATTAAATTAAAGACATTAGTTCCATTTCATGCTCAGGCGAATTTTGGAGTAACTTTTAAAATCACTGGGTTTTAGACACAGCTAAAACAAAATTCATGTTTCCAAGGCTACAGATAAATCTATTTTTCTAGACAGGGGTGTCTAGGTGTTCAATATGCCTATATTTTAATGTATCAGTTATTGCTACGTTTTGGTAGTGGGTAGGGATGTATTTTTCAATGAAATCTAACTTCCGTTAAAAGCGTGTCGTCCGTATTTTTATTTTTTTTTATTTAAAATTTATATTGTTAACGGCTAAAATTCTTACGGCATTTTTTTTCCTACGTATATTTAAAGATTTCTTTTGAGGGGTATTTAGGTAAGAATACTTTTTATTTAACTACGATTTGAAATATTTTTACTTTTAATTTTATTATACTATAATTCTTTCAAGAAAAATAATTATACTAACAGTAGGCAACTCTAATACATTTATAGTCTATAAAAACTAATAATGAAAATATTTTAAAGTTGAAA